AAGCCAGTGACGGGTTCCTGGAAAAGCTCATTTTTGACGTCACTGCGAAGTCCTTTCATTTGGTACCAAAACTGTCCCACAGAGTTGTAAATATTACCTAGAAACAGAGGCTTAAATCCAAAGTTGTGTGTTCCTGTGATCTCAGGATTTTTAACAGACACATCCACAAAGCAAGGCAGGTTGCAAACACTCCCAGCATTCATGGCGAGGAGTTCAATCAAGGCTGCGAGTGAAACACTGGATTTTGATGACGACACTTTAAGAGGTGAGGAGAAATGCCTAAAGAAGATTGATTGAATGACATTTTACTAACATTTCGATTTCTAAGGGATCTACTTTACAGTTACACGTTTCTAGCCTCGCCGATGCTGTTGCATAATTACCGTTTGTAATCCAAGTTGTTAATTTTGAAGAACATTTTAAATATATAATCCTATTCTGCCTGAAGGGGATCTTGACAGAAAGTATCCATGCTCTTACGTAGCTGTGTATTATATTTGTTCTTATGTTTATTAAATTTTCCTGTTTTTTTTTTTAATTGGAAATGTCCAGCTTTCTGGTAGTAACATTAACATTTTTGTTCAGTCTCTGAGAATCCCTTCGTTAACCTTAAGTACTTTTACATGTCAACAATATTCAAATCAATTCTGTTTCATTAGCAATAGCAGAGGTTTACAAGAATGAAGGCAATGATGAATACAGAAAGAAAGATTTCAGCAACGCAGTTTACTTCTACACAGAGGGGCTTAACGTGAACTGCAAGGATAAAGAATTGAAGGCCAAACTGTACTGTAACAGGGCGATTGCACATTATTACTTGGGTGAGAATTTTTAACTTTCTCGGAATTTTTTTTGTGCGCCGTTAACTGCATCCGGAAAGTTTTATCACACTTGAGTCTAAATTTCTCATTGAATTACACGTTCAATTTGCTTCAATGTCGTAAAAAGAGAGTTCTTAAAGAGTTCTTAAAAAGTTCTTAGAGAGAAGAGAGTTAAAATGTTATATTGTAAACATTTATTAACATCTAAATGTATGAAAACTTTTTCTCTAGGTATGACGTCACTTCTACATATATAAAAACAATTGTCTTCAGATATGATGCAACCAAACAGAGCCAGTAAGAATTAGCTGGGTGCTTTTAGCCAATCAGAATGGAGACAGTGACACCAGTGTAATCGGCTGTGACACAATGATCTAAGGCAACTTTTTTTTTCACAGGTAATTATCATGATTCACTTAATGACGCAAGGAAGGCCACTGAATTGCAACCAAACTATTTGAAGGCAATTATACGAGGTATGATTTCTTTGAAAAAGTGTAATAATCTTTCTCTTCTGGACAATTTGCTCTAGTCACTACGACATGTTCACGACGGTGTATGCAAGACAGAGAATATCACTTACTGTTGCTCAAGAATTAAACGTTTCCGGGTTTATTCAACTAGATTAAAAGCTCCAATCCAGTCTAATAAACCCGAGCACGTGAATTTCTCTTGAGTGGAGCTCAATTCTACGTTAAAGCTGGCAATGTCTGCCTGAAATAAACCTTAACCATGGCGCACCGATATCCACCATGGTGTTTCAATTGTCCAACCTCGAAAAAGTACTTGATGTTGCCCAACATCTGAGGACGTCCCAGGACCCGTGAAAAGTTCGCAAAACTTTGAAGAAAGATCCATTGAATCAAGATCACACATGTGCACGACCACCCCACAGCGTTTCAAAAGGCACATCAGATTACGCACTGCATCCTGGTAGGCTTGGAACATATCAATGTGCCAGTAAATGTTTCTTTCGTTATTATTTACTGCTAGGAGCGAGTGCCTGTGTTGAGCTGAATCAGTTTGAAGAAGCTATCACTTGGTGTGATAAGGGATTGGCAGTATCCTTTATTACCTCGTGTCATCAATAAACTGACAAAATAAAAGAACTGCTCGTAGATGTTCTCTTTTTGTTTCTGCATTGACATCATCTTTTCATAAAAAGTCATTTCATAAAAAAGCGAGCTGTTACTAGTTTTCCAGGTCATAATCATTCTGGCTTATTCTTTTGGCAAAGAGAAAGGACGCTGTTCAAAGGGAGGAAAGAGGGTTGTGAAACTGAGTGTAAAAGAGAGATGGGATCCTAAAGTAATTGTCAAAGTTTATCTCCAGAATTGAACAGTAATTGCTCCTAACCTAGAATCCAAAGGAAATTGTCCTACTATAATTAGGATTGTGGTTTGTAATCAATTTTCACAGGCAGAAAAGAGTAACATTTTTAAATGAAGCACAATTTCAAGGGCCCTCAAATGCTGGTATCTCAGCGTACAAAATAATGTCTTATCTCTTGTCAGACTAATTGATCAGAATAAGATGCCGACATGCATGACATGTTATATATCTTAATTTCAAGAAGATTGACAAAGAGAACCGAAATTTGCTGGAAATAAGGATTAAGGCTGTGAAAGAACAAAACAAACTACAAGAATCAAGCAGAGGCAAGGTCAAAGGTCATTCAGAAACTCAAACTGTAATAGACACGGTGAGTTTAATGGTCGTTGTATGAGACTATTCAAAGTGTTATGATTGATTGGGTAAAACCTATCAACCCAACGATGGTGAAATAAATCCTTCAGCATGACCCGAGGGTCACCTTTCTTCGAGGAAAACGTAGGGTTAGTTCTACCTTGTGCAGGAAACCTGCAGACTGAGTCAATCGCATAACAGCATAGGAGCAGAAGGTTATATACAGTTGTGAATTAACAGAGACAGATTCCTCTAAGATTGAAACTGTGTAACACCGTAATCACGCGGGTGAATTCCATCTTCCTGTAGATGCTGCTATCTTGCCCTGTGTTTTGTTAGACATCATAATAACCAGAAATCCTACATAAGAAACCGTACACGATCATGCTTCCTCATCGCAGACTGGCAAATTATACATGATTTATCTGACAGAAAAATGTAGAAATGTTTCACGTTACAAAGAAATAGGCATAGGCGTAGGCATAAAGGAAAAAACATTGAATTGTTTCAACCAGATTTCAACAAACTTCCTTTTCAGGCCAAGAAAGCGAGAAACAAGGAAAGTGAAGGACTTAAATACGCTCTTCTTGGCACTATGTTTTCCGCTCGAGGCGAATTCAAAAAGGCTATAGAGTACCACAAACTCTACCTTTCTATTACTAAAGAACGGGGAGACAAGGAGGCAGAACGAATAGCTTATAGCAGTCTTGGCATTGCGTTCTACAAGCTTGGTGATTTCAAAAAAGCCCTGCACTACCACAACCTACATCTTGGAATGGCCAAGGAAGCCGGAAACAAGGTTGAGGAAGGGAGCGCGTATTGCAATCTTGGTCATGCTTTCCTTGGACTTAGCGATTTCCAAAAAGCTAAAGAATACCACAACCTTGATCTTGCTATTGCTAAAGAAATAGGAAGCAAGGCTGCGGAAGCACGCGCGTATGGAAATCTTGGCAATGCATTTTATGGCTTTGGTGATTTCAGAAAAGGTATCGAATACCAGCACCTACGTCTTGCTATTGTCAAAGAACTCGGAAATAAGGCTTGGGAAGGAGATGCGTACGGGGATCTCGGTATCGGTTTTTTCAATCTCGGAGATTTTGAAAAAGTCATGGAATACTATACTCGCCATCTCAGTATTTCCAGAGAGGTGAGAGACAAGGACATGGAGGGACGTGCCTGCCACAACCTTGGCAATGCTTATTACCATCTTGGGAACCTAAGAAAATCCATTGAATACTACAGTCTGCGTCTTCGTATTGCTAAAGAACTAGGAAACAAATATGATGAAGGATCGGCATATGGCGCTCTTGGTAGTGCTTTTTACAAGCTCGGTGACTTCAAAAAAGCTATAGACAACTTTCTTCTAAATCTTAGTACTGCCGAAGAGTCAGGAAACAAAGCTGTGAATGGACTAATGCATTGCAACCTTGGCAATGCATTTTTCAGTCTCGGTGATTATAAGAAAGCCAAAGAACACCACAGGGTTGACCTTGCCATCAGCAAAGAAATGCGAGACAGGGCTGGGGAAGGACGTGCCTATGGCAACCTTGCCAATGATTTTTCCGGACTCGGTGATTTAGACATGGCCGTCAAATACCACAAGCAGCATCTTAGTGTTGCCAAAGAGGTTGGTGATAAGACCGGACAGGGACGCGCACACGACAATCTTGGTACTGTTTACCAAAGGCGCCACATGTTCAAGGAAGCCATCGAACACCACAAGCTAGCTCTTGGTCTTGCTAAAGAAGTCGGAGAGAAGGCTGCAGAAGGACGTGCCACTGGCAATCTTGGAGGAGCTTTTGAAGGGCTAGGCGAGTCAGACAAAGCCATAAGCTACTACAAGGTCTTACTTGGTATTGCTAAAGAAGTGGGAGACAAGGATATGGAAGGTCATGCTTATCAAGTACTAGGTAACAGCCATGAGTCCCTGGGTCATTTATCTGAAGCACAAGAATGTTACCAATCTAGTGTAAGATTGTACAATGATGTGAGAAGTCTTCTCCGGTCGAAAGACGAGTGGAAAATCAACTTTCGACATAAAAATCATTTTGCTTACAATGCCTTATGGCGAATTCTTTTGAAAGAGGATAAGATTGTTGAAGCTTTGTTTGCTGCTGAAGAGGGACGAGCCCAAGCTCTAACTGATCTTATGGAATCTCAGTATGGCGTTCCCGCAAGTCAGTCCGGATCACGAGGACAAGATACGACGGATTTTGAAATGCTGAAGTGCATTCCTTCAAGCACAAGTTTTCAGGCTCTTGACAAAGACACGATCACCAGTTGGGTCATCGTAGAGGGAAAACCCGAGGCTGTTGGACGAAAAGTATTCGCTCATGATGCTACTACCTTTTTTCGGGTCTTGGTACGAATTGCCTATAACAGCATTGGTGTTCGTGCTGGTGTGAGTTGCGAGGACCGATCCATGGATGCGTTAAGAGAAGATGCCTTCCCTGACGAGACATCACAACCCACGTCTACACCACAAGAGAGTAGTTTGAACACCTTGTATAACATCATAATCAGGCCCATTTCCAACCTGCTTCAAGGTAGTGAACTAATCATCGCCCCGGATGGTCCACTGTGGCTAGCTCCTTATGCCGCATTCACGGACACTGATTCCAAGTACCTCTGTGAATCGTTTCGAATCCGACTGATTCCCTCGCTGACGAGTTTGAAAATGATTGCTGATTGTCCTGAAGAATACCACTGCAGGAGTGGTGCATTACTGGTGGGAGATCCGTGGTTGGTAGAAGTTACCAACAGCAAGGGTCAGAAACTCCTAGAACAGCTCACGTTTGCCAAAATGGAAGCGGAAATGATCGGGAAGATTCTCAATGTAGTACCACTAATTGGAAAAAAGGCTACAAAAGCTGAAGTGCTACGACGACTGAGTTCGGTTGCTCTTGTACACGTTGCAGCGCATGGCCGCGAGGAAACTGGTGAAATAGCCCTAACTCCCGACCCGAAGCGAGCATCCCGAATCCCCACAGAGGAAGATTATATTTTGACAATCGCAGATGTGCTGAGTGTTCAAATGCGAGCAAGACTGGT